ACTATAATGGGATGGGGTCCATTTAATTTTATCTCTGAAGCTTCAGGCAGATATCAGGGCATCAGCTACCAGTTTTAACGTATCTCAGTGGCTGTCTGAGGGCAAAGCAAAACAGAGACTAGAAAGATTAAATGTAAAAGAATCCCCAGGACTGGACAGGTTACGTCTGAGCCAGTGTCGGAGCTAAGGCACAAAGGGCCCTGGTGCAAGATTTTTTTTTGGGCCCCCCCCCCCATAAACCCACAAACACAGCGCTCTCCTTTCGCAGCGCTCGGCCGGCTGTCACTTTCTCTCCTCCCCGCTGGGACACAGAGCAGCGCCCAGCGGGGAGAAAAGAAAGCAGGGATGTGCCGCTGTTTCGGCAGAAAGATTGCACTTTCGGCATTATGCCAAAAGTGCCATTTCCGGCCAATATGTTTTGGCGGCCGATATATCGGTGCATCCCTAATATTTACAGCAATGCAGAATGACACATGATATAGAGGACTACACATCCCAGCAATACTTTATATAACAATAGCATTTCTGTATAAAGTACTGCTGAGATTTGTAGTCCTCAGCAGGCGATTGCTTGTAAGTCATACAGCAATCGCCTGCTGATAAAAGCGGTACCAAGAGCGCGGCTGCCGAAGCAGCCGTGTTCTTGTTTTAACCACTTCTGCAGGCCACTGTCTATAGACGTACTGCGACCCAGAAGTGGTTAAAGTGACATTAAAGTCAGTTTTTTTTATCCCTCCTCCCAATGTTAATGTCAGCACTCACCTTAACGGGAGTGTCGGATGAACGGATGATCCGACACTCCCGGCGGAGAGACCAGGGGCCCGCCGGGCGCTGGATACTGATCCGGCGGCCGGCATCTTGCTTGGGCCCCCCCAGAGCCTGAGGCCCCGGGCGCCGGCACCGCCTGCACCGGCGGTAGTTCCGCCACTGGTCTGAGCTTACTGAAGGAACTTAGCCAGGTCAAAGTCCGGCCTCTGTACAAAATATTCATGGACACCCTAATGACAGGTAAGGTAACGTTTCATTGGAGGAAAGCAAATGTGGTACCAATATACAAAAAGGGGAGAAGATCACCGGGTAACTACAGGCCTGTCAGCTTAACGTCAATAGTGTTCAAAATATTTGAAGGCATGATAAGAGACTACATGTAGGAATTTGTGAATAAAACTGACATCATAAGTAGTAACCAACATGGCTTCATGAAGGACCGTTCTTGCCAGACCAACCTATTAACATTCTGTGAGGAAGTCAGCATTAATCTAGACAGAGGAATACCAGAAGTCCTGGTGTATCTGGACTTTGCTAAAGTGTTTGACACAGTACACCACAGATGTTTACCGTACTTCATAAACTAAGGTCTATCGGGTTGGATTAAATTGTATGTAAACGGGTAGAAAATTGGCTGCAAGGACGGATCATGAGGGTAGTAATAAATGGGTCCTTTTCAAATTGGGCAAATGTTGTAAATGGGGAGCCTCAGGGTTCAGTCCTGGGACCGATCCTGTTCATCTTATTCATTCACGACATAGAGATTGGACTAAAAAGTTTGATTTTGTTTTTTGCGGATGATACAAAAACTGTGTAGGGCAGTAGTTTCCAAACAGGAGATAACTGTATTTCAACAGGACCTTAACAAAATTGAGGCCTGGGCTACAAGATGGCAAATGGGATTACATGTTGAAAAATGTAAGGTTATGCACATGGGAACAAAGAATGTGTGCGCTAACTACCACATGGAGGGTGCTACATTAGGGAAGTCAATTATGGAAAAAGTCCTGCTCATAGAGCAGATTTGGCAATAGTATGCAATGCCAAGCAGCAGCCAGCAGAGCAAACCAGATACCGGCGTGCATCAAAACAGGTATCGCGGCAAGGGATAAAAGAGTATAAATCACTATGAGGACCGCCTTCAGCAATTAAATGTATTCACCTTAGAAAAGAGGCGATCAAGAGGGGACCTTATTGCAGTCTTCAAAATCATCAATTGGGATCACTATATACAGAACAAACTGTTCAATCAGAAAACAGTATTGAGAACCCGGGGACACAACAGGAGGTTGGAGGAAAAGTGATTCAATCTAAGAAATCGTAGAGTATTTTTTTACTGTGAGAGTAGTGAAATTGTGAAATTCCCTTCCATAGGCGGTCATGCCCAGCCGAGAGCATTGATAAATTCAAGAATGAGTTTCCTATTTCACTTGATATACAAAAATATGGGCAGGTGTTAGAGTCAAATAAATACAGATACACAATCACACACACCTATACACACATAGGTTGAACTTGATGGACCCTTGTCTTTATTCAACCTTATCTACTATGTTACTATATAAAAGATACATATTAACAGTGGCGTCCTGAGGCTGAATTAATGCTACTCTAAATTCAAGAATACGATATTAAATGCGTATTCTTGCTGAAGTGCACAAAGCATGCTGATAGCAGCAGGGGCGTCACTAGAAATCACAGGGCCGGGGGCCCCATAGCAAAACTTTGTTCCCTGTCCTCGCCGGTACCCCTGTGCCCGGGCCCTATAGCGACCTCCTGGGTCGCTATGGCGATAGTTCCGCCACTGGATAGGAGAAAAGAGCAGAGTGACAGGGAGATGAGCTCATTAGCCTGTTGCTGTTCCTTTTACTGTCCAGTCACAGGCTGGGGAGGGGACAGGATCTATAAGAGTTACTTAAAGCAGAATTTCAAGGAAAGTTATTATTAACTCTTGCAGTGGGGCTATCCACACACTGCAAGGGTTAACTGTGCATTTTAAACTAGGGCTGAAAATGATATAGCATTCAAAATAACTGTTAAGGGTTAATAAATCTTTGATCCAGAGTTCTGCTTTAAGATCAAATACTATAATTAAATTATATTTTTATACAAATAATAAAGGTATTCTATGGTATTGCTGGAAACAACCTGTGGCATTGCTGTCTACACATGTTTGCCAGGTGGTGATACGCATCCAGTGTACCCTGCAATAAATTACAAATCTACTATTCCGGATTTTCATTCGGTAGTTTTCGAGATTTTGCCCCTGGAAATGTCCCTGGTCTTTGCCACCAAATAACTGTAGCATATAATCCATCACGTTACCTGCTAAATTCAGTTACTGTCTATCAAAGTTAAACTTCAGCTAGATTTTTAAAATGACACAATTTAGATATATAATTATTAGGGAATTATTGCACATAGGGTAAGTACCTAACATCACCATGGTCTCAGCCAATTATAATCCCTTATACAGCAGTAGACGGAACACTAGAAGTCAGTCGGTCTCTGCATCACCTACTGACAGGAGGAAGGAGTATAGTGAGTAGAGAGATCAGTGAGCTGCTGCTCCTTCACTGTCCAATCATGGTGTTGTGTTCTTGATCAAGCTGACCTGCGGCAGAAACTAAGGACTTGGCTGTGCTGTCTGGCAGGGTTGCCTGGATTACAAAAAGGGCTGGGCAGAATTAGTATTTACCCCTCTGCATTTTTCTTTTTTTTACTGTGTGCTTTTAACCATGATCCTAATACTTAACCCAGCGGTGGGTAATTTATTTCCTGAAGGGCCACATAGGAAACTGGGATAGCTGTGGAGGGACAAACCAACTTATGCACGGTACCATGCAATGCACTGACCGTGTGTTACAGTGCGGCAGGTGTGTTGCATTGCCATTCATTTGAATGGCACCCCAAATGCACCTGCTGGCCACAATGCGATCGACTGCACTGCCACACACAGTTTCAGGTTTCAGTGTGGTTGAAAAAAAGTAGTGCATGCAACACACCTGCCGCACTGTGACACACAGTAGGTGCATTGCATGGTACCATTGTTAGCTGCTGCTGTGCGGGAAACTACAGATGCCAAACCCCAACACCACAACCTGCTCCCCGCACCCTGCACATACCATTTCAAGTTATTTTTTCCACAGGCGGGAGCAGACGGAGGAGGACACCTAACATCATTGGTTGCTAGGACCGTTCAGCAGTCCTAGCAACCGATGACTGCAAAAGAGGACCTCTGACATCATTAGTTGTTAGGATGACAACAGTCCTAGCAACCAAGGACCAAAGAGAAATGCGGTCCAAACACGGACCAATTGCCAACCTGTGCTAGGCTATGGCTTGCAGTAGATGCACCGTCCTTGGAGACTGGTGCATCTACAGTCAGCCTGCCATAACAGAGAGCAGGTTAGCGGGCCGGACAGCCGCAGACCAAGGGTCGGATATGGCCAGGTCTGACTTATCCCTAAGTGCTTCAGTTAAGCAATGCAGCTGGTCACCTCCCCATTCCCAGCCTGTTACTGGACAGTAAAGAAGCACCATCCTGTGCTCACTATGCTCTCTACTCCTATGAACATGTTCCTTATCAGCACATGTGCATGCAGCACACCTAATTGGGCCATGGTGCTGCCCTTTCCTCTCCCAGTGTTACTGTGCAGAGTAATTCAAGAGACTGACATCAAGTCAAATTCAGGCACTTACACTAGCTACCTTCAGGAATATATTTCTTAATGACTACATAGCTGCGTTAATTGGTATTTATTACACCTGCCTGGTGTTTAGCTATAAATAAGCTCCGCAAGAGTTCATTGAGAGGAATTCAGGAGAATTTTATACCCAACAGGTCATATAGAAGGCTCAACCCTAGCAACCAATCAGAGCCGACTGTTTAATAATGCAGTATATAAACTGAAATAAAAATGGAATAAAACAAAGTATCTAATTAGTTGCCAAGGGCAACACAGTTTTTCCTTTTAGGTACTTTTAATACATGAACTCCTCTTAAGGGGGGGGGGCTGTAAAATACAGAAATTACAGAAAGATAAACATTTTCTGACAGCTACAGTACACATTAACATATCTGAATAATATCAACCGGGCAAGAAAAAAGAAAGTGCTTCTCCAAGCAGTGATGAAATAATGACAAGACCTATAAATCCGTAGCCGCGCCTACACACAAAGTAAAAAAAAAAAAAAACTTCCAAGTCAGAGAACCAGTTGTGATCTACGAAATCAGAAATGCAGTAATGACTCCTGCCGCCCCACCTTGACTCTTTTATATTTCATCCAGCAGACAACAAAGCAACCAGTGACATCCTGTAGTCTTTCCCGTGGATGTGATAAAAGCACACAGCAAAACAGTGGCAGAGCGAAGAGAAAGAAAGACAATAAGACATGGCACAAGGTAGGTGATATAGACGACATTTCTAATCTCATGCAGCTTGTGAGCCATCATATCTTCCCAAAGAGAAAGCATCAGAGTCCAGCAAAATGATGAGATAACACTCATTGAACCTTGTTTGAGAAAGTTGAGTACCTCTGGGTGGTACTATGCTGCAACAGCTATGTGCTAATGTCTTAGACCCTTGGTGCCCATCCTACGGCCCTTTGTCACTTGTGTGGCCGTCAGGACCCCTGCAGAGAGTATTCTGTGTTTTCCTTACCCAGGTGTTCGCAGAGGCCAGTGAAGAAAAACAATTTGGATGTTTGCTCTTACTGTAAAATCTATTTCTTTGAGTCCATTAAGAGACACGGAAATCTACACATAGTTGGGTTATACCGCCACCTTTAAGAGGTTGGGGCACTGGCAAACAGAAAAGTTGTAAGCCAGCCCCTGTATAACCCGTCCTGTGCTCAGCAAGCCTCAGTTTTTTGCAAGTGTCCTAGGAGGTTGGATGCCTTTTCTTCAGGACCCCTGCCAACAGTTTTCTGTGTTTTCCTTACCTACGTGCTTGCTCTGGCCAGTAAATACATTTTTTTTAGATTTTTGCTCTTACCGTAAAATCTATTTCTTTGAGTCCATTAAGAGATGCGGACATTTACAAATAGTTGGGTTATACCACCACCTTTAAGAGGTTGGGGCACTGGCAAATAGAAAAGTTGTAAGCCAGCCCCTGTATAACCCCCCTGTGCTCAGCATGCCTCAGTTTTTTGCAAGTGTCCTGGGAGGTGGGATGCCTTTTCTTCAGGTCCCCTGCCAACAGTATTCTGTGTTTTCCTTACCTAGGTGCTTGCTCTGGCCAGTAAAGAAAACATTTTTAGATTTTTGCTCTTACCGTAAAATCTATTTCTTTGAGTCCATTAAGAGACTTGGAAATTTACAAATAGTTGTGTTATACCGCCACCTTTAAGAGGTTGGGGCACTGGCAAATAGAAAGGTTGTAAGCCAGCCCCTGTATAACCCCTCCTGTGCTCAGCATGCCTCAGTTTTTTGCAAGTGTCCTAGGAGGTTGGATGCTTTTTTTTTTTAGCTCTGCTGAAGTTTGGAGAGAAAGCAATATGCAGGGTCAACAACAGATGGGTGGGACCTGTGACCCTCAAGGGACCTGAAGAAATAGATTTAACATTATGTACAAAAATCTTATTTTCTCCACTGTCCATTAGGGGCATGGGAATTCAGCAACAGTTGGGATGTGCAAAAGCAGGCCAACGGAGGGGTGGACAACAGCCACTGACGAATCCAAGATGGAATTGTCTGAACAGAGGATAACCAGACAGACTAATGTCTGAATCTGAACCAGATAAGAAGAAATCACGGTCAGGACAGGGGAATCTTTTAATGATCATGGGAAGACCACAGAGGATCAACCTAATGCTGGGAGCAGAACAGGAGGGAACAATGCCAAAAGGGACTGACTCCACCCAAGAGGAAACTGAGCTAGCCCCAGCAGCAGATGTGAGCCAAAAACAACCATCCAACAGGTGGAACAGTGTACTACCTAACTAGGAAGATTAGACCAAACAACAGGATGTGGTCAACAACATGATCACTGGGAATTTAGCCCAGGGCAAAAAAAACAGGTCCATTGAGGGAACATTGAACAAAAACAGGTCCACAGAAGAAGACCAGGAGGTCTAAAACTGAAAAGGCCTAAGCCTTTCACTACTGACCATTAGACGCAGGGAAGGAGTTAGGTTGCCTAGACAGCTAATCTCACAAGGAAATATTAAAGGTAGTGAGAAGCTTTACAGTGAAGTTAGCCAGTAAGGCAACCCATCATAGCAATGAGCAATTTGGAATATCAGGGGGAAGCGGTTGGGGAAGCTTCAGCAGGTCAAAAAAGTAACATAAAAGTATTTTAACTGGATATGTAGCTGTTTGTTCAAAGTGTTATTCACATTTTAACCAGTGGTGGAACTATCGCCATAGCGACCCAGGCGGCCGTTATGAGGCCCGGGGCACAGGGAGGCCCGGCCAGGACAAGGAACAAAGGGGTCCCCCTGATGCCGTGTAGGCTGCCTGGGTCACTATGGCATCGCAGGCTGCTGGATGTCACTGGTGTCTGTGAGGAGCAACGCGCCGCTGTCCAGATCACTGACAACCTGCTAAGTCAGTGACAACCAGCAGCTGCGGTGGAGGAGGCCGAGACCTGGCGGTGGCAGCGGACGAGGAGACGGGGCCCAGCAGCGGTGGAGGAGGCCAGGCCCCGCGCCGATGGAGGAGGAGGTGGGGCCCGTCAGCGACTGAGGAGGAGGTGGGTCCCGGCGTTGGAGAAGGCTGACAGCGGATCAGGGCTGATGGGTAGGAGGTGTGCAGGGGTGTGACCAGCCCACCTGAGACCATGCAGAGCCCACCATAGAGATATCACTGGGCCCCATACAAAATTTTGCTATGGAGCCCTGTAATTTCTAGTTACACCCCTGATTTTAACAATTTGGTTAAGGTTAGGGTAAGCTTTAGGATTAAGTGTTAGGGTCAGGTAAAAAGATGAGGGTGAAGGTTCAGTGATAAAGCCTATCTCCTGGGAAAAATCCTTCTCTTGCAGTGGGGCTACCCCAGCACTGCAATGCTTAACTGCTTATAATGTCTAGGTAACTTGTGTAAAGGACTTTTGCTTATCTCTTCCCCACTCCCGAAGGCTCCAAGACCAGTGCCCGCAGTCTCCCTCTGTCGGAAGCCTGCTTAGGTCATCAGGGCCCATTATACATGAGGACTCTGAGGAGCAGTAAACAAGCTGGAGCTTAGGGAGATGAGGAGAACGCCTAATACTGGGGTTGCGGGGATCATGTAAGTACACAGCTACCCTATACATTAACAAGTCAATCCTTGCAGTGCACTGTAGCCCCAATGCAAGGGGAGGGTTTGTTTTCCCAGAGACAGGCTTTGGGGGTTAATTTGAATGATAGTTTATATCTTAAGGCACATTCATACCTTTCTGTTCTGGTGTTTTTGTTAACGCACATTATGTCACAAGTTGACATGCATTGTGTTAAGGCAGCCCATTCATCTGACTGGGATGCCAACACACCAGAATGGACCACTGGCTGGCACCATTTTTAGCAACACAGTGCAGTACAATGTTTGTTCGTTCCCTTGGTGTTGGGGTGTCATTAATAATTAATGGCACTGTAATGCACTAACATGTGTATAGTGCATAAACGTGTACTGTGGTAACACACGTGTTATCACAACACATAGGAGTGAATGGATCCACAAAGGCTTTGGGTGAGGATTATGTGAAAGGGTCAGCCTAATGAAAGTATATGGACTACAAAAGCTTTTTTTTGTTTGTTTTAGATTGAGTAGGGAATGGTTAGAACCTCTGTCAGGTGCTTTTGCTGTCTATATCCCAGCATTCTCTCATTCTCTAAATCTGCCATGTTGTGAGACCCACACTGCATCATTGGCAGCTACAATGCTAGAAACTGGGCCGTTGGGCATCATTGGTTGCTAGGATGCAGACGGGTGCACCATAACAATCAACGATTCTGGTGGACCTCCACATCTTTGCAAGCAGCACCCCCACACAGTGTATTTGGTTGCTAAGGTGTTGGTGGCCCCAGAGCATCATAGGTTGCTAAGATGCACCCGCCTGCATCCTAGCAACCAGTGACGCAGTGCAGCTCAGCTACTAGTCAATCAATGATGCTGTGTGGGCCACGCAGCATCATTGGTTGCTAGGACACAGAAGAAGGTTCAGGATAGCGGGCAAATTAGCCAAATTGTGTGCCTATCCAGTGAACTGTGAGCTGCTTGGGTTCAGGTCAAATTCATGAAGTTAGCTGAAGTGCATCCCTACTTTTCAGCACCAAAAGCTCAGCGATAACAATTACCAGATTAAGGTTCTTGGAGGCAAATACTGTACTGTAATACACTGGTACAGGGCTAGGCACCCTCAGCGCTCACATGAGGCATTGCAAAACTCTGACAGCCACAGGCATGACTCCCAGAGGCAGATACATGATGGGATTTGTAGTTTCACCACAGCTGGATTGCCAAGGTTGCCTACCCCTGTTCTAAGACATTACATGTACAGTAATTTCCAAAATCCAAATTCATTTCCGTACTAATTGTTTTCTCAGCTATGAGATTTATACAAATGTATATCAGTCTGTTCACCTTTTTGTAGGCAAATGACTCAACCAGCTTTGTGGTTACGCTCATGAAACAATTAGTGCCAAGAATTAGAGCTTGGTTTCACTACGTGTTGTCTGATGTTGCAATGTATAGCTGTGTTCCCAGTATGGATTCAGGACAGGAAAAGCTCAGCACATAACTACACTAATGATTGTTCTCTGTTGTTCATTAGTTCAATAAAAATCGTATATTTTTATTGAGAATCATTATTGCAAAATATACCTAAAAGTACATGTACTTGCCTGTTGTGTGATATGTACAGTTGTAACCAAATGTATTCTGTCCCCATTGCAAATTAGGTTTATTGGCAAAATTTACACTTTCAACTGCTTGCAATGAACAAATCAAACAAAAGTAATTGAAATAGGTCAACACAACGAATGTTTGATGTGGTTTCCCCAAATTCATCTGAAAATACAACTTTTAATGACTTCTGCAGTCTCAGAATTATGCTCCTTCATGGCAAGCATCGTGAAGTCAAGTACAGTAAACTCTCTGTTATCCGGTATACAATCGTGTGCCTATTTGTCTTAATTTGCTTTTGATTACTGCATTTCAATATTAATATGAAGTCAAGACAGAGTTTATGTTATGGTATGGTATGATATAGTATGGGTATTAGACCTGTTTTGAATAGTAACTCTAAAGCAACCAGAAACTACATTTATCCAGAAACTACCAATCCCCGTGGTTGCCAGATAACTGGAAGTATACTGTACTTAGTAGAGCACCATTTTGTTGTTATGACCTGCTGCAAACGAGATGCATTGCCAGACACCAGCTTTTGGCAGCATTCCTGAGGAATCTTAGCCCATTCCTCCTGAGCA